CTCTTGATGAAGAAGTTCAGCGGGAATTGAGATCCAAAAGGAAAAAGTGAAAGTATTTATCTGCAAGAGATTAATTCTCACCTTCTGTGCAAAAAAAAAAAAGAGTGTCTGGTCTCAGCTAATTATCTAATCTCCCTTCATAATCCCTGGGGAGGGACAGCTGCGGTGGTGCATCCTACCTGGCTGAGCGCACAGAAGGCGCTGGGTTGTGCACGAGACTTGTTTCTGCCTCTGTTTGACTATGGACACAGTCCAGATAAATGGATGTTTAGTTTTTAAGGTCCAAGAATGAAACTGAAGTTCACAAAGAAGTATCTGAGACATCCTCATCTGTTAATGATTCCCACAAGGCTTTGCTCATTCCCCCTTTTCTCTGTCACTATTTCATTTCAGGCCAAAAGAGAATAAGGGACCTATTTCTTGTCCTCGGTCCCAAGGAGGAAGCTGTTCTCCAGAGCTGTGTACTTGTCTCCATACCACATAGAGGCTTCCATAGTCAATGATGTATTTGTCAGCTGGGGAATAACTCACCCCCTGCCTGATAATCATGGGAGACCCTAAGGGATGGTGTTCAGTGGTAGTTGGTCTGTGGTTTCAAGATGCGCCCAGGCAGTGGAGCCACCACAACGCCAAGTGTGCCCACATAACTTCATCAGGCTGGCCTAATGAGGCAACTAGGCATTTAGTGGTTATCTCTCTATGCAGCTGCTTCAAGCTACGTATCAGCAGTTTATGGTGATGCTCTCCAGGCTTTGGGGTTCTCTGTGTGTCTGTAGGCGTAGCAGTGAGGAGAAAGAGAGACTTGTCAAAACTGGCAAAAAATCATGAGTGTTTGTGTGGTTCAATAGGACAGGCTCACCATGGTACACACTTCCCCGTCACTCGTATCCCCTATTCGACTGCTAGGTCTTTTGCTTCGTAATTTAATTTCTTGTAGCTACACACTCCCTACCACTGTCTATCAAAATGAGCAAGTGTGTGCAGTCCTGGCACTTAATGGTTAAAATGTTTGTTTTACATAACTAGAGCACAACCTTGGAAATTAATCTCCTTACTTATTAAGGCAAGAAAGTAATTGGATTTTCCTTCTGGTAACTTTTCTTGGCTTTCCTGCATTTTCTGTCCCAATCATGAAAGCATGAGGCTGTCTGGGCAAGTATTGGTCTCTTGCACGTTCTTCACAAGAATAATTAGTGATGTTTCATCAATTAGCCTTTTCAGTTTTATAATAGGTTAGTTTTTCCAAGCGAATTTTAAAAAATGCTGTAAAAAGAGTTCTTCCATATTTCACAGCTCATTATATTTTAGCTCTTGCTGCCACCTTTTAAAGCCTTATCTACTAGAATTTAAGTAAAGAGTTCTTCATTAAAAGTGGAAAGAAACCTGAGAGCTTCCATTGTGCCACAAGAATGTGCATTAGAGAGGATCCTTAACTGGGTATCCAGTCTCCGTTATGCTTGAAATACAGAATAAATAAACTTGGGGAATAAGTTCCTTGTTCATTTTTATTTCTGATCGTAAGTAATTTAAAAAAAGATTCGCTATAGAATTTCTGTTCCCTTTATTTGATCTACACAATTACACAGTGCTCTTGGTCCTACATTTGATCCAAGGCTTATGGGCTCTTCAGTTTAATTTGTAATTTGTCCATTAATTAAGAGGGAGAAAATGTAGTGTGATGGGTGGAGCTGGGGACCAGGAATCAAAGCTTCTGAGTTCTTCCTGGCTCTGTTCCTGACCTGAGGAAAGTCACTTACACCTTCTGGCCCATATTGTCTCTGGGACTCTCAATATAATTATGTTTAAATGCCCCCAAGCAACGATATGAAGGCTGATAATGGCAAGATAGAAAGCGCTTCCTTTCACAAGCTCCGCAGAGGTGTTCAGTTGCATGTTTCAGGTCAAGTCCCCTTTAGGTTCAACCACTATGTGGCAGTTCCATGTAATTATGGAAGAACATGGGGGTGTCTGTTGTGTACTTCTTTATGAAGAAAACATTCAACCCATCTTTGACTGAGAATGATTTAGCATCTGTAACGATGAAGATGACAGAAAGGACTGGCTTGGTTTCTGCAGTCCCAACGCGTGTGTGCACCTGGGGCAGGAAGGAAAACCCCTTGCACTATGGATGCGAGAGCATTGGCTGTGATTCACTGAGGAGAGGGAACTTCAGTGCCCACCCTACTGAAACCTTGCACCTTAACTGTCCCTGCACTTCATTTGTACCTGGGTCTCTTTTTTTAAAGAAAAAGAGAGAGAGAAAGCAAACAAAGAAAAAAAGCTCTGTAAGAACAAAGAAACCAGAGGAATAAATAACCACTAGGAAATTCCCAGCACATCCCTTTCTGAAGGTTTCAGGAAATTCCATTTGTTGGAGGAAATGCTGAAAATTAGGAGGAGCCCAGAAGAGGGACTAGCAGGAGACAGCTGAGACAATTTTTCACTGCCAGGACTGCACTGTGTTGTCTCTCCTTTTACAACTCATCGGCAGGCATTATTACCTGGTGAAAAAATTTGTTTTGCAACTCATCCTGAGTCCTCATAAATCATTAATGCCTGGCTAAGCACAGTGTGAGCATTACAAATACTCTGAGAATGAGGGCCCGTTCTGATATAACCTTGTGTCCAATACTAATGCCTGCTAGTTATTTAGTAATACAAAGGGGGCTCAGCAAGGAAGATCGATGAATCAATGCAGTCTCCTGACTTCCTTCCCCTCTCCACCTGCCTCTTCTCTTTCTAGTTCAGAAACTGAGCTACAGAAAGTACAGGACTGTTCGTAGGCATCTCTCTGTGGAGGACAGCACAGCAAGTCAGGGGGACGAGGAGGGAACTGCGTCCTCCCAATGGCTATGGGAAAAAGAGAAGCTTCGGTGTCTGATGAGGGCTTGCTCGGATTTCTGGGTTTTTATGAGCCGGAATCCACCACTGCTCCAGACGTGTTTTCTGGTTTGCATCCCTTAATGAAGGCATGCAGTACAAAGCACACCAAAGCGTGTAAAGAGCATAGATAGAAACTGTGCCCAGGAACTGCAGGACTGGATGTAATTAAAGGGTGCTCAATAAAGTCCAGGCAATCAGCTCATTACCTGGGGGAGCCATCTGGGGACTTGGATGCTCAAACCAGCTCTCGCAATACTGGGGATAGTACAAAGAGCACAGCGTCCATCCCTGCAGTGGCTGAATTTTGTGTCTTGTTATTCAGAAATCTCAGCCATCTTCATGAGTTTACAGATGGTCTCTGCTATCCTGCTTACCCTGAGCCCACCACCAAAAAGCCCCGGCCCATTCAGAGTGCAACCAAACTGTTTCCTCTCTTCTCCTCTCTGGGAGCACAGGATCCATCTATGCAGTTGCTATTCATCTAGTTGTGCTCTTTGAATGCCAAGAATAATTGGTCATGAGCTTTCAAAGGAGGAAATGGAAGGAGGTGAGATGGAGATTGACCCCTCGTATAAGCGTAATCTTAAACTTATATGACTTGGACTTGGTTGGGGCCCTTGTCTTGAATGGCTTATGCAAGGAAAATTGCAAAGCCACAGAGAAAAGGATCTTGAATAGGAATGTACCGAAAGTGCAAATGGGGGTGGAGGACAGTAGTTGAGCAAATTTGAAAAGGGGAATGACAGAAAACAAAACTGAAATTAAGTAGGGGATAAGAGTATCAGAAAGTTTAGAGGGAAAAGTTGCTGTCTTTAAGGCATGAAATGATAGAAAATTGGGCAGGAGGAAAATGTAGTTGCTGTAAGTGAAAGTGGAAAAAGCAAAAAAAAAAAAGTTCGTAAGTGAAAAGGGATGGAAAAATACTTCCTTCACAGTTGCCTCCAAAAGTATGCAGCTAAGAAAGCACCTGGTGCTGTTCCTGTGAAACCAAAGACTGTAGTCACTTTAACCCTAAATCAGGTAAAACAGCCCTTGGTGTCCAGAGCATCCTTGGGCTTTCACCGAGGCCTGAAGCGCTCGTGATCGAGTCAGACTTTAGGCACCAGATCTCCAGCAAAGGCCTGAAACTTGCCTGCAGAAGAGCGAACATTTGGATCCCGCTTCAAGTTTTGCTTGAAATGTGTCGCTGTGCTTTAGCTCAGATGGATTTGTTAAAAATAGCCCCCGCTATAGCACCCACAGCACAGAGTGCTTTATTTCCCCCTGTTATAGATCTGACACAAGCCTGCTGTTACTTCTGTGGCCTCTCTAAACATTTGCTTGCTCTCTGGAGAGCACTGACCCATTTCAGCACGGAATAATTAGCCTTTCAGACACCACTGTGTTTCCATTAAATAGACATAAATGTGCAAGGTGACATTTATTTACTTAGGCCTGAAAAATGCGCACCACCGCTGTTGGGGCTTGGGAGAACTTCCATTTCTTTTCAGGCAACAGTTGTGTATTTGCATGCGTTCATGTTGTTCATCCACAAGCGCTTTGCTGAAATGATTCCTGTTGAGTTTCATTGGGGAAGCAGGAGAACACAAAGATTATGTGGGCCTTCCTTTCACCGTGAGGCCCTTTGGTGATGCTTTGGCAGCCCATTGCCCAAGGCCAACAGCGGCTTGAAGCGCAGTTACAGTTGTATGGTTGTACAGTTACGCTCTCTTCAGGTCCCTTTTGCTTTGTGTAAGGAGGGACTCCGTGTAAAGAACCGTTGTTGATTTACAGATCTGTCTGAAGAAGAATGTGTTCAGGGTGTTACACTGAGAAAATGAGAACCTTGACCTATTGCAAACATAAAATAAAACCCAAATCCTTTAGTATTTAAAATCAGCTCTTTTATCATCTTGGTCACTGGCTTCTGAACCACCAGGCTATTGCCTAGGTGAAAAGTATATTATTCATCTTGATAGCCACTTCGGTCCACAAAGTTGGAGGGAAGTCTTACCCTTAAAAGTCCAGCCGGTATACAGAGCGTGTAGGTTGCTTCGTAGTTCACATCCACACGTGAAGACGTGGCTTGCTATTATTTCATTCTGTTAGTACCAATAGGCTTTTTAAAAGGAGGCATCATGCAAGGTAGGTGCTTTATTGCAGGATGGAAACACTTTCATAGGTTATTTTAATCATTACGATTCTTTCATGATGTGTGAAAGTTGATTGTTGCTGTAAATGAAGCCATTGAAGGCTAAAAAATAAAAATGCTGTGATAGTAAAAATCCTTGGAGTGCAAAAAATGGGAATTGCTGTAAAAGGCAGTAATTTATTCTCTGCGTGAGATTATTTTTTATCATAAGGATGCTTTTAAGCTAATTCTAAAACATATACAATTGTAGTCTATATGGCTGAGGTATATTGCAAAATGCATCGATAATCTGGCTAATTTTTTATGCACTGTAATTTATATATTATTTCAAAGCAGCATTTTATTCTGTTAACTGAAAGGCTTAACACATTTTTACTATGTTAAGGATAAGTTATTTTTGCAGGTTTTGTGGTTTTATTATTTTGACCCATATCCAGTTCATATTGCATCATAATACCATATTTTTACTAATATTATTCTAGTATGTTCAGAACTTATTTACATTTGGATAGAAATTCATTAGCTCTTGATTTTTATTACAACAAATTATTTTAACTTTTCTGTGATAATGTATTTTCTGTGTTTCTAATTTGCTGATGCTGAAATATTTTGTTTTCGTTTTTAACCCCTCCAAATTGAGGATCGTTTTTGCTTTTTTTTATGTATATATATTTCAGTTGTTTAGACCTACTGGTTCCTGCTTTTTCTTTTTCTTTTTTTAATATGTTATGTTTGTAACTTCTGACTGTCTGTGTTGAGCCAATCTTACCAACAAATATATCAGTTGTTTCCTGTTTCTCTACTTCTTTACAAAAAAAAAAAAAAAAAATGAAAAGTAAAAAGTAAAAAAAAAAACTCTTAATGGGAACCCTGGCACTGTCTGTCTTCTCTGTTCTGCAGAAATGTTGAAGGAGTTGAACCAGCAACGCAGAGCGAAAGAGTTTACAGACCTGAAAATTATTGTTGAAGGCAAAGAGTTTGAAGTCCACCAAAATGTTCTAGCTTCCTGCAGCTTGTATTTCAAGGACCTGATTAAAAGGTTTGCCTTCCTTCCAGCTGTGATCTGCTCTGTTCTTTTGTAGGGCGCATTTGTGTCGCTTTTTTTTCCTCCCCTCTCTTGCAGGTTTATGAAGATTGAATCTCCTGTCACAGAGCCAGTAGCCATTCTTTCCGCCTCCTCTGAATGTATTTCCAAACTGAGACTCAGACCCATTCGTTACACATCTGACTCGTACAGTGTAATTATTTCTGATCAGTAGAGGCCAGTTTGGGCCGAAGAAAGTGTTCCACCACTGAGAGATCTAAGTTTTAAACTCAATTGCTAATGGTGATTCAGACCACAACTTGAAAAGTATTGCTGTCGATGTTTTCAAGGGACTCTGTCACATACGACAAAAGTCTGTCCTTCGGGCTACAATAAGCCGTCAGCGTTCTGGTGAACGATGCTGAGACATCGTGCTAATAAAGCATTTTGAGTATCGTGATCCCTTCACCCTGAAATCTTTGTTACATGCTTTTGTGTGGCTTTTATGGGCAAAGGGATTGATATTTTTATTTTCTGGGGACTTTTAAAAGAAGAAAAGACAACTGATGAATTTCTCTAGAAAAGATTGGAAATAAGACGATTTTCTGGTCAAAATATAGCTCAGTCTGCATGTTAGACTCAGGGTAGATTTTTCCTACAAACACTCTAGCTTAGGGTAGGCACGATATGTACATTTTCTAAACATCATGTCTCCGCCTTCGCATTTTCCCCCCTCTGTTTCTAGCTGATTGATTCTAAACAGTGCATGATAATCTTTTTTTTCCATTACATTGATTTTTCAATTTGTATGCTTCATATACTCGCATAGGAATAAATTGGTACTCTCGTATTATTAGTAAGTTAGAGTAGCAAGTAGGGAGAAAAAAACCATGAGGATAACTTTCATTTTTCTCTCAATCATCAGCAAATTAATGCAGCTGCTGATTTTGCCTTGCAGTATTTTCCTGAGCAGACTGAGCCTGGACTGTGCTAAAAAGTGGGATTAAAGAACATTTTGCTTGCTTCAAATCCTGTATTTAAATTTTGCCAACTAACACAATAGTGACTGTATTTTATTTCAGGATGGCATATTGGCTGGTATCTCCTTTCAGTGTATTATGTCCTTTTGCACAAAGCTGGTTTTATAATTATGGATATATATTACATTTCCTTGATATAACTGTGCTGACTGCCTTATCAATTATTCATAAAAAATATGTTGGCCTAGGAAGCATGTCTTTTCCCCTCTGTAAATCTAATGATTGCTAGCTGTAGCTATGCCAGATCTCTCCTCTCCTTTCTCTTCTGTCTGCTCATTATCATTTAATTGTTAAGGCTACAGTATATGCTTTTTAGGGCGATAAGGAGTAGAGTCTATAGGAAAAGAAAATCTTAGAATCAACTTACAGAAATCCAATAACTGACAGGCCACAGACTGTCATTTGGATTTTGCTGCGAAGACATCTGCTTGCATGCAGAAGTCACCAGACAGCATCTATTTCTAGAAGCACACTGAGGAATGTTGCTGCTTTATTATTTAGTTATCAAATAGAGATGTACTTTAGACTGAACACTGCTCTGATATGAACTCATTTAAAACAAACAAACAAACAAACAAACTTTTTAAATGCTCTGAAAAAAAGGCTATGAAAGCAAAACCCCCGATTTCAGCATTTACTGTCTTTCAGGTGCTCACCTAAGGCTCACATGTGTTACAAGAAAAAAATAGTGAAAGGTTTAGCCCATTTGCCAACCTCACCACTTTTTGCCACCTTTCACATCATCAGCAGCAATAAATATTCCAGAGGTCGATTTGTATCCACAGTCTGGTCTCTCCATCCCAGTTGTCTTCCATATATAACCTCAGTTGCACACATGTAACCTTGATGAAGGCTAATGGAGTTGCACAGGTGTATCCAAGGCAAAAAGACCTTTATTACTGATGATGATGCTTGAATAGGGAAAAATCCAGCTTGATGTCTAGTTGAGTTTGCAAAACTGTCAGGTGAGAAAAATAAATACTCACCTGTAAACTGAGCAAATGTGTCTTTGCGAGGCAATAAACTCAGGGCTATGGGGTGGAATTTCTGAAGACTTGCTTTTTAGAGGATACTTGCAGTGAAAGGCCTAGTCCTTTTAGAAACCCTGTGAAGTCAATGAAAGTCAAGGACTCAAGTTGCAAGAGGTACTCAGTATTTTGCAGGATCATGCCCTTAAAAATACAAAATCATTATAGTTCACAGAGTCAGTAGGTTTATAAATACAACATGTCTAGAATCCTCTCCTGTTAGCATCTCCTTTGAGATGGTACTTTAATAAAGCTTCATGTGATTTTTATCTTTGTATTATTATAAAAATCAAAACAAGAAACAGCAGGTTTTCTTGAAGAATAAGGGAGATCTCTTTATATTAAGTATAATATAGAGGCCATTTAAATCAGTGCATGCTAGGGTTAAACTCTTAATGCCATTCCAACCGAAGGCACCAATAGGTCACCAGAAACGTCAATGAGAAGATGTTCTATTCATGAAGGTGCTATGTGCATCTGTATAAACATGCAGAAAAAGAATATCTTTCAGAGTATTTACTTCGGCTGTTCTTTGCCACCGGCTAGTTATTGTTAATCTCATGTTCTGCCATTGATTCCACTGTGTGTTGGAGTTGGTATCTGATGGTAGAATAGCAAGCAGTGTCTCAAAAGAATAAAAGAGAAATGTTCAAAAACAAATAAGATCGATTATCCCCTCCTCAAAAAAACCCCAAAATATAGACAAAAAGCATACTAGAACTAGACTTGCTGCCCATTTTGAGGAAGGCTGTTTGATGAGAATTAGTCGTAACGGGGGAAAAAATACATTGTTTTTATTGCACTGTAGTGAAGAGACGAGAGCCGGGTTAGATTGACCAAAACAATTCTGAAGTTATTTATGTAACAAATTTGGCAATGAGAGCATACTTTGAGGCGCCCTTAGTTTCTCAGAAAATGGTTAATCCTGCAATGTGCTGAGGATTCTAGTCCTTGTCCAGAAACGTTCTTATTCCATGTGATTTATCTTCTGAATATATAAGCATGGACTTTTTGAGGTGGGATTAGTCCAGTCCTGAGCCTAAGCTCTGCACTGCACCAAGCACTGTGCTGTTGGGAACGAGTTAAGCAGTCCCTGTCAGGAGCTGCACAGCGCTCAACCTTAAGCCAGGACTTGACGTTCATCTCCCTCCCAACAGCAGCTGACCATAAAAACTACCCTTAGTCTTTCACTGAAAAGGTCTGAAATCATCTGAAAAGGGTTAGGTGTATTAGGAACAGGAGGTGTGAAATGTTCCTGAGGTCTGTTCCACTTCACTGTCCCCAGGAAGGGAGGAAAGCGAGATACAGAGGAGGGATGGGGATGTGGGAAGATGGGTGCGTGCTCAAGGCTGGTCCCGCAGTAGGACATGCTGCAATAACCTCAGGGGCTGTGGGGCTATCACTAACAACCCCAGGAGCAATTTTATACAATATTAAACATAATTGGGGAGCGCTAGGTTTCCTTAAGTTTTCTTCATAAAATCCCCTTTAAAGTATATTATTTTTTGTGGTGAATATTCGAGCCTGCTTTATGACAGGTATGGGGGTTGAGTACTTGGCCTTACTGCTTGCTCCTTCAGGCATAGAGCATATTGAAGAGTTGATATACTTTATCAGCGCTTAGGGAAATCGTGTGGTTAGTCAGCTTCTTCAAACTGTGACCCATACAAGACTTCTGCAGTACAGGACTTAAGGACAAAATGGATGATAAATAGCAGCTGGAATAGGGATCTGTCCTCCAAATACCATTTTAGATATTTTGAGTGTACCGCCAACCACAGTTGCTTCCAGTCTGCTTGACTTTGGCCTCTAATATAATAATATAATATAATTTGGCACCTGTATTATAGTTACTTAAGAAATCAGCCCTCCCAAAGCAAAGACCTAATTTATGGTACAGGCAATGAAGAGAAGCACCTTGAAGGCTTCCAGAAGGAGCCTTTTCTCCTTACTCAGGTACCTGTGTGCAGGCAGGCAGGAGATCCCTCGGGAGCAATGAGAGGTGCTTGTCTCTTGCTGTTAGTCAACCAACATTCAGGCCCAAGGTTGGCATCTAAGGCAGATGTAGTCTAGCCTCACCTTCTAGACTGCTGCTGTATTCTGCAAAGAGGGAGACAGACCTCTCCAGGAGGCAAGTCCTCTCACCCTAAATTGGTGTCTAAGATACAAGATGAAGGAGGAGGCCATCGCTCTTTAATATTACTAAAGAGAGAGGCGAGGTGATTTGCTTAGACTCTAAACTCAAGATGGGTGTTGCCTTGCTTCCTTCAGGGGTCCAGCCTAAGCCGGTTATCTAGGCTTCCGCTGCAGTTGTCCGGGAAGACAGGAATGTCCATAGGGCAACTCATCCCACCTTATGATAAATAACATGAATTGCCTTCTGGAAGTGTTCGCTTGTCATTGCCCACAGAGAGAGGCTGGTAACCCAGCTCTGATCAGACACCGGAATCGTAGCTGACTAAAGTACGTGATTCCTTCCTGACTGTCACATACCTATGCTTATATACGTACAGAGAAAGGAAGAAGTAGATCAGGATCCATCAAAACCCCCGTATCTAAAATGCCCCTCTCTCAGAGCACAGATTTTCTTACTTAAGCCCATCTTGTAGCTACACCTCCTTGGTTTGGGGGAGGAGAGAAATGAGCTCTGTGTCTTTCTACCATCTGCCCTAGGAGAAATGGTGGAATATATTTGTGTGTGTGTGTGTTCTAGAAGGAAGGAAGGAACAGAAAATCCCATGAAGAGGCATCATTTTTTTCCAGCTGTGTTTGGGATAGACAAATGCAGCTGCTGGATAAATGGAATGTCTGATATTTCCGTAACAAAGAGAGTTTCACCGGAACATTTTAATTTGCTGCTTTCTTCTTAATCCAACCCAAAGCACTGGAATCTCTACCAAATATGACATTTATAATAGAAAGCACTTGACACAGAAGTCTCTGTGTG